AACCTTAATTGAACCCAATTAAAGATGGTGGTGTAGGTGCATAATTTTTCTCCCTGTGCATGGCCATTCCCGTGGGCGCTTTCAGCGACAGGCCGGCGACAGATGGACTACGTTTGGGATGAGGTCGAGTGGCTGGGACTGCGTCTACGCCCTGGGCATTGGGCACTGGGATCACGGCTTGGAATACTCCCTGCCTTGCAGCATATAGAAACCAACTCCCAATGCTTCTATGCAGAGAGAAAAAATTTAATATGTTATTCAATTTTGATTAAGTTTTTGAAACTTTTTAATAACGAAATTTATTTATTTTATTAAAAAGTAAAAGGTGCTCAATTTATCCCTTTTGAAATAGATATCATTTGCTAAAGAGAACTTGTTTTTTCTGCCATTGAAATAAGGATATTCACTCTTTTGATAAACATAAACATATTCACTCGCTTACTGAACTTGTTACTTATTACTTGCTCAATAAAATAAACTTGTTCACTCTCCCACTGGAACATAGTTGTTCACTCTCTCGCTCGAATGAACCTATTCTCTTTCTCACTCTGCTAGTGAACTTGCTCATTCTCTCACTCTCACATAAGCTTCTTCACTCCCTTGCCAAATTGAACCTCTTCATTTTCTAACTAAAATTAACTTCTTCACTTCACATTCTCTACATTGAACTGCATTTTTCACCCTTTTACCAATATGAACATGTTCACATTCTTGCTGAACTAAACCTGTTCACTTTCCACCAAAGTGAACTATTTCTTTGTTGTTCACTCCCACATAAACTATTAAATACCATCATGAAGGACCTAAAATAATCAAGGTGCTTGACAATTAGTTGTAATTATTACATATTTTTTGCTCTGTACAAATGCCTACAGACTCCTTGAGTTCAATGCCCGCCCACTTGGCAAGGTGGTGTGTGTGGCGATGGAGTCCGTGGATACGTGACAGGTGGCACCTGGAGCTGAATCTGGAGCCGGAGGTGAAGCTGGGCACGCCGTTCCACTTGAGTGCGCTTTCCCATGGCCCGTTTATGGGCCGCTGTCAAATTAATTGGCTTTTCCGGCTTCGACTTGGTCTGGGTCCAGCATCGAGCTGCTGCTCCTGCTCCTGCTCCTGTGGCTACTCCTGTTGCTGGACCCCTCATTGGGGACTCTTTGCTTGCCTGACAACTCATTTCCTCGCGTCTCGAAGTAGAAGGCGGCGACGGCCTTCGATTTGTCCGGATGCCCGGCAAACTTGCCCATTCAATCGAGCGTCCTGTGTCCTGTGTCCATTCTGGAGTTTGGGTTTATTTGTGAGCATTCGGGCCGATAGCCATAGCCATGACGATACACGCGCCGCTCGCAATTGCTGGGCGATCAAAACAGGACCCTCGCAGGACCCTCGCTGGTCTACCAATTTCACTTGCTGTGCCTGTCCAGCGCCAAGGGCCATCCATCCAACCAACCAACCAGCCAGCCATCCTTCCTTCCATCCATCCATCCATCTTTCCATCCATGTCCACGTCTTGAGTGCTGGCAAGTCCTTGAGTTGTTTTTAGAATGCCTCCAGCTGCGTTTTGATTGCCCCTTTTTCTTTTCCTTTGTACTGCAAGGAGGCTGAGACTGAAGGCAAGTCCTTCACTCAGTGTGAGTCCTTTTTGGAGGACACAGCTCAACTTGGAGTTGAGACAGCATCACGGCTTGAGTTTAGCTCAATGGCAGCGAAGGACTCACTCATCCCCTTCACTATCGTTTTGAGTGTGTGTGTGTCCCAAGAATTTCCCCTTACTGTTTTGGGACAATGTTGGCCGCAGGGGGAAAACTGGGAAATTTATTGCCTATTCCTTTTGAAATTTGTCTAGGAATATGCATTTATTTAAAACGTATTTGATTAAAATATTTTATATATAAATATATTTTAAGTTTTATATATATTAGTTCATTTTTCAATATATATTTTTAAAAGTTTTCCTTATAATAAAATTGTTTCTAAAAAATATTTACCTAAACTAATTATAACTGAAAGGGTTCCTTATAAAATTTAATTTTTCTATACTAAACAAAGCCTTAAAGTTTTAAAACTTGTACAAACTAATATCGTAAATTCAAACATCAAATAATTTATAGTTAACAAGAAATAACCATACATTTTATAGAGATTCCATAAAGTTGTTTGCTAAAATTTATAAAAGAAATAATGGTAAATGTAGGATAAAATGTAATATAAAGATCAAAATAAAAGGTTAATGCTGTATTCCTTGATTTCCCAAGTCATAGGTTATTTGTATACCCTTGCAAGATACCTCTCCCTCTCTCACACTTTCTCCCTCTCTCTCTCTCTCTCACACACTTTCTCCCTCTCTCTCCCCCTCTCACACACTTTCTGCCTCTGGTTCTCTCTCTCCCTAAGTAGCTCTAGAGATCTCTCTCCCTCACAATCCCTCTTTGGCTTACTCTAGGCTTATCGCTTTCTCTTCCGCTCTCACTCTCTCTGCTGCTCTCTATACTTGGAGAGTATAAATAGAGGCACTGCAGTCGCCGCGAGCTCAGTCTGTTTTCGACCCGCCACCTGTTAACATCTCCAGTGATAGTGAAAGTGATTTCCCTTCGACCCTTAACATATCCCCTGGCCAATGTAATGTATTTGGATAAACAAGAAGTTGCTATGTACATTATTATACCTTTGCAGGGTAATATAATTTTAATCAGAAGCTTCCAATAAAGTGAAGAAGTCATTTCCGACCCTACAAATTATATATATATTCTTGATCAGCATATAAAACCGGATCGATCTAGCCATGTCTGGTTCAAAAAAATATTTTCTGAAATTTTTTCAAAAATTTTTAAGGAGTTTCATTGTTAAAATAATACAAAAAATTGACAAAAACTTAAATTTCTAAAATTTAAAACTTTATATACAGATTTGTTAACGCTATAAACAGATCCGATCCGAAATTAATGCATTTTTAGCTTAGTTATGATCATTGAAAAACTTTGATTTACCCAAAAAATTACCATATAAAAATATCAATTTTATATAACTTCACGAAGTTGGCTTCCTTTCTTGTTAAATGTATTTGTATTTTTATTATGTATTTGTATTTAAAGAGAATATTTTGTAATTCCCTTTATGTTTCCATAATTGAAAAAGCTAAAGCTTTATTCGTACTATACAAAAGTAACCTTTATATCATATTTATGGTTGGACATGCCATAAACGCCTTAGGGAAAATATGCCATAAATATGAAATGCCGTAAAATAGATACCGCATATCGTAAACATGATATAATGGGTAAAAGCCATAGAATCTACTATAAAAAGTCAATATGAAACAATAGCTTTCACAAAATTTACAACATTTTTAAGAGCTTTTCTTATTCAGCTTTTAATTTTCTGTCAGCAGAAATTGGGTTCAATCTGGGAAGTATTTTAAGGAAGTGCGCTTTTTTTTATGGTCTATAAAATTACTTGCTTGGGGAGCGATTTAATTTGGTGATTGTTCTTCTGTCTCTAAGGATTTTTCTAATGATGTTGGCTGGGAAAATTTAGAGATTTTTGATAATTTGTATAAAATTGATTGGTTTTTTATCGAAAGATATTGTGGAAGGTTATTTATATACAATTTTGGGATATTATCATTTTGGTCTTAAGCTTCTAAAACGGTGAAGCAGTCATTTTCGACCCTATAAATCATATATATTCTTGATCAGCATTAAAAGGCGAGTCGAACTAGCTATCTTCGACACAAAAAAAATTTGTGTTAATTTTTGTCCAATTTTTTAAGGGGTTTCATCATTAAAATTCTGAAAAAAATGCTAAAAATTTGAATTTTTTAATATTTTAAATTGAGTATGTAGATTTATAAACCTACTAAAAATAAACATAGCAAAGCTTTCCGATTTAAAATTAATGCATTTTTGGCTAAGTTATGCGTTTTTGAAAACTTTACTTTATCCAAGAAATTGTCATATAAGAATATTGACAAATATTAATTAAACATAGTTATGACTGATTTCCAATTCGCTCCAATATTTCGATTATGAAGTTAAAACACTCCTTAACCCTAGGTTAATTTGATGGCTTTGTGAAGACCAAGACTTCATAAATGCTAGTTTGGGGTAAATTTGTCTTGCCTGCACCGGTCAGGTGTTAATTGTTGTGTTAATTGGACTGCCAGGACCCCAATTCGACCTCTAATCGAATTTGAAACCACAGGCAATTATGCTCCAGAGAAGTGCACCTGCTCTCCTCTCCTTCCCCTCGCTAAATTTCGGTGGTTTGCGCTTTCTGTTGCACTAATTGATTATTAGGGGGAGGAAAGTGGAAAATACACCTGGATTTTAACTGATGAGATTTCTCTTTCATTTCCCATATAATTTATCATAAATAAAATAAAATAATTAACCCATTTCTAGAAGATTTCTAATAAAATTATAGAAATTAAAGGGATTCCCTTAAAGGACTTGAAAGCCAACCAATTTAAGCAGTTGTTACCTGTGTGGTAAAACGAAAATTAAACCCAAATGGCCTTGAGAGTGCGTGTGGGTAGGAGAACTTCCGGTGGGTGTCTCAGCAGGTATCCTTGCACCTCCATCACTCTCTCCCTCTCTCTCTCCCTCTCTCTCTCCACTATGTTATCCTGTCTGATGACGACGACAGGGGGGGCTAAAATCTCAGCCAGATTCCAAGCAAGGATAATATTTTCCGTTGCCTGGCCTAGCCTGGGTCTCTTTTGTTCCGGCAGTCAGCCAACGGAACCGGAAGTGGAAGTAATACACACACACACACACAGATACAGCTGGCAGGCAAGCAGGTGGTGGCATTGAATTCTAGGCACTTTCGCTTGACATTCGACTTTTGGTCCTTGGTCCTTGGCAAAAGAGTTCATCATGAAGATCCCTCCTATATCTTGTATTAAGTGGGTCATGCCGCGAATTAAGCCCTCGAAGACACCACATTTACGGTCGCCTCTCTGGGATATTAAGTGTGAAAGGCAACACAAGTGGCAGGCAGGCTAAAAGGACGAAGAGGTTTGCTGTGTAGAGTATACTGAATGCTGGATGTGGATGTGCGGTTAGAGCTTGTGGCATAAAAACTTTTTCAATTATAAGCGCTTTGAGAGATAAGGCGGCATACCGCCAACAGAAGCAGACAGGACAACAGGGGAGAGAGAGCATGTCCTCGAAGCAGGGAATACCCTAGGTATAGAGAGTAATTAATGCAGAACTAATATATATAAAATTATACTACATGTTACCCGTGACACTTAATCTCTCATTTAGTAAAGAAAGAGTTCCGAGTTTTGTTCAGGATTTCTTATAGATTAATTTCAGGTTTATTTGTGGAATTTCAGAACCATCTTCTAAGTTTTTCTTATCTGGAAATCTCTCTTATTTCATATATAGTAAATATTTAGTGTAATTTATTTAAGTAGCAGCTGGCTTATCATCCTCAATGGTATCCTTTTCCTCTTCTATAGAAATAATCATATTCTTAGACCTAGAGCGGAGAAAGTTTAGGATTTTCTATCAATTATTATTGATTTTAAAAGCCTTCAACCATATAAAATTCATATAAATATATGAAATATTTATTTTAGATCCTTTGTCTATAATCCCTCATTACCAATTTGCTTGTACAGGGTATCAAAGCCCACGAAAAGCACGAACTGACCGCAACGCAACGACCACAAAAACGCACAGATGACGCGCACATGGCGTACTTTCTATATATTTAATATTTATTTGAATAATCTTGTTAAGTTCTTTTTTTTAGTTTATATGAGATTTTTTGGGTAAAAAGGTAACTTGATGGAAATTACTAAACTTACAGAGCTTACTGGGATAAGAAGTTATTTATCATTAAATTTAATAACCATATAACAAATAAATTAAAATCTTCAACCGCTTATTATAAATATAATAATAAATGTTATTTGGTTATTAGTTTTGCTAAAATTCCAAAAAGTTGATAATAAGAAAATATAATTATAGAAGTAGTCAAAGAATTCATATATAAAATAAATACAAATTAGTCTTTGTTTTGCACAGTGTAAAACTGAAATAATTCTATCATACTTTTTATATATTTTCAAGAGCTAGACTTTATATTTTGTTGAAGTATTTTTATGTCTAATATTTAGTCATTTAATTAACAATTTATAATGATTGCAAACAGTTACAGCTAGCAACTTAAATTATATTTAATTCTTGCAGCTTTATATAAAAGTTTAGGGTAAAAAGCAATATTTTTCGTCTCAATTTCCTAAACCAACTCTTTTATATATATTTTCCCTCTCATGAAAGCCCTACTCAGTAGCCACATTTATATGCCATAGAGTTGAGTGCTGGAAATATTTCAAAAGGACATCCGCGAGGGTCCTTAGCACGCGTTGCCATTGTCCCTCCCACTTGAGTTGAGCTGCCACTCGGAGGTCGCATTACGTCTTGGTGGACACTGGAAACGTGCTCGTAACATATACATATATATATAATATTTTATTTTAAAGTACAACCCAAGTAAGCCATGAAGCAAACTTAGTCCCCATGATTGCCTTTCACCTAGCTCCAAGCCAGTCTCACTTTAAAATCAGTCTCGCTCGGTCCTTCTCTTAATAACAAAAAATAATCTGGAAACTGAAAGCGGAAATCTAAAAAATTACAAAAATTTAAAAACCAGTTTTTTTTTGGATAAATTGTAACAAAAATCTACATTGCTTTTTATAATGGCCAAACCAAATGAAACCGACTGCGAACAGTTGGGCATCTTTAACCGTATAGATCGATTGTGCCGACGTATATTACCTGGATATAACTATATCAGAAATAAACGCAATGGATCCAAACACAAATTTGAGAACCGTGGCATTTCATCGGGATCCCTAGGACCCTCCAAATTCCGTGGAAGACAGAATAGGAATCAGAATGGAATCACCGATGAAATATTCCTTGGTGCTGGTATATCAAAATCCGAATTTTGCAAAGAACTTGAAGTTGTCTTACAAAAGAAACTAATTGAGATGCAGGAACGAATGGCACATTTGAATCAAGGTGAAATAGATGCATTCCAAATGCAAGATAATGTTGTGATGGTTAAGGATGAACCGTCTGAAGAAGATGTTGTATCGGAGGATATTGATCAGCCTGAGGTGATGCGACCAGGAGTAGGTCCAACTGTGCGCCATCGGATGGTTCAAGTGATGCTTCACAAGCCAGGTCAGAAGGCGATTTACATGGATACAACCGAAATAAACAGACCCCAAGTGAACACAGCTGAAATGAACACACCCGAAATGAACACAGCTGAAATGAACACACCCGAAATCAACACTCTGGAGGAGAATCCAGCCCAAGAGTTTGAAGCAGAACAACCTAGCACCTCCAAGAAGGTAGCAATGAAGGCAGACTCCTCCCCAGGAGTTAGCCCAAAAGTGCGCCACAGAATGATTCAAGCGATGCTCCACAAGTCTGGAAAGGATACTCAACAAAAGAATCCACGGCGGGAGAATGAACCACGTGCAAAGAAACCACGCAGAGGTGAACCTCATCTTTCCAACAACATTGAAGAAAAGAAGTCAAATATTCTGATTGAGGGTAAAGTGCCGAGCGATGACATCAATATGGATGTAAATGAAATCAAGGTGGAAGAAACGGAACCAAAACCGGAACCGGAATCGGAAATTGAAGCAAACCCAAAACCAACTAGAATCGTGGAATATTTGAAGAAATTTCACGGCCAGAAAGGCCAACAAAATCGTTGAAGTTTTACTTTTTTGTTACCACTTCGCCGCCGATAAATTTTATATATATATTTTAATAATGAGACATTTCATAATCCCATCGGCATGGCAAATTATTAAAAATTAATTGGATATAATGAAACGGCAATTAAGAAAGGGTTTTCTTTTTTCAACTTTAATTATTTTGTGGCAAATGGGAAATGATAATGGTTACAATGGGTGGTGGGGGAGGTTCGGGAGGAAAGCGGAAACGGAAATGGCATTGCCTTCCGTTCACTTAAGTTTGCCTCTGGCTGCTTGTGTCCACCAATCAAAACCATTGTTACCTCATGCTAATCAGTAAACAACAATTTAATCGCTTATAATTGGCATGAAGAAGGGAAAGAAGAGCAAGGTATAGTCCTTAAAATATCCTGTAAAGGGATTTGGGTAAAAGTTATAAGATAAAAATGATAATTAAGGTTATAATTTAGGTTAAATAAATACACAACCTATAAAATTGGTTCTTCATTTATATTAAATATATTCTCTTAAGAGATCTTATGACTTTAAACCTCCAAATCAAACTCCTTTCATTTAAGCTTTAACAAGATAATTGAAACATATAAATTCCTTGTATTTAATGACCTCAAAACTGTGGTCATTAGCCTCGCCCAACCACCAATTTACAGGATATGAAAACAGTGGGGACAGAAAGGACACTCATTGAGCCACTCAGCAAGTCGATTGTGCGAAAAAGCCACAGCCATGACAACCAGGTGGGGAATTTGAATGGAAAAGGGGACCAGGATGAGGATGAGGAACTAGGAAGAGGGAAATAGAGATGGGGATGAGTGACAAACCACTTGAAACATCGATTTAGTCCTTGTCAATTGCCCAACAGTTGGGGGACGGGGATGGCGGTTACCCGACCGGATGGCGGATGCGATGTCATTGAGCTCCGGACTACAATTATGTGTATTTCAATTTGTTGGCCAGTTTCAAGAGCGGTTAACGAGGGACAACCGTCCTGTAATACTGTGAGCCCTGCTAATGGTCCTGGCATTAGCATAGAATACAACAGAGCCTCCCAGTAGGACTCCCACTCCTGCTCCATCTCCTGTTGATGCTCCCACTCCATCTTGGCGTTCTGGCCCACTCATCATTGAACATTCGCATTCGCATTCGCAGTCAGAGTCCACTGAGGCCATGACAAAGCGTTAACAAAAACATTACGTATACGCACCGCAAACCAAAACTCAACTGAGAGTATATGTTTGTGTTTCTGTGTGTGTGTGTGTGTTTGTAAGGGGGAGGAGGGAAGGATGTGTCCTCGGGGACACAACATCATAATTTTGCTGGCCAAGCACTTGAGCACTTGACCATTAACGTAACTTTTGTCTACGCAGCTCTGGCAAAGACACAGAGAAAAATAAATAAGTAAATAAATAAAATAAAGAAATATATAAATAAAAATATAAATATATATATAAATATATATAAATATATATAAATATATATAAATATAAATAAATATATTTAAATATATATAAATATATATAAATATGTATACAAATATATAAATATATATAAATATATATAAATAAATTTAAAAAAATGCATAAACAAATAAATTAATAAAAAAATATCAAAATAAATAATAATAAAAAATAAACTAATAAAAAATATCCAAATAAATAATAAAAGAGAATAAATTAATAAGAAAATATCAAAATAAATCAACAAAAAATAGAATAAATAGATATATATAAAATGAAATAAATAAAAATAAAACAATTAAATTATATATAAATAAAACATGCATTTATAAACAAGAAAGGAAACTAACTTCAAGAAGTCGTAGTTTATATACTCTTCCAATTTGCAATTAAAATATAGATCGAATCAGAAATTATTCATACCTACATAGGTTTAAGATGTTAGCATTATTTGATAGATATTTTTATATGAACATTTTTTTTTTGACAAATCAAAGTTAAAAAAAACTCATAACTAAGCCGAAAATGGATTAATTTCAGTTCGGAAAGCTTTTCTATGCTAGTTTTAATAAATCTGCGTACTCAATTAAAATCATAAAAAATTCAAATTTTTATCGATTTTTTTTATAAATTCAAACCCCTTAAAATGTTGAAAAAAATGTCAAAATTTTTTTCCCCGCCAAACTTGACTAGATCGAACCGACTGTTGATGCTGATCAAGAATATATATAATTTATAGGGTCGTAAATTACTCCTTCATGAGTTACAAACTTTTAACTGAAATTATAATACCCTGCTAGGGTATAATAAATAAATACATTTATAAATAATTAAATTTATTTATTGGTAAACAAATAACAAAAAAAAAAAAAAACAAATAATAAACAAATAATAAAATAAAAGGAAAACTATGGCTATGGACATTTTTCTTGTATAATTATTTATTTATTTATTTTTCAAGATGGAATGTAGTATTAAATACTTTACCTAATGTATAAAATAATAAGCGCTGGCTTCTGGGGCCTTCAACTTAAAATAAATAATACAAGTATTTATACTAAGGTATAAATTTTTTTTTTTTAGAATATTTACGTTCAAAGTATATTCATATTTTGAGAAATTATATAGAAAGAAGAATTATACAAAAAAATATTGCCTATGAAACTATTGTATTGATACTTTATAAATAAATGTTTATCTAATATATTTTGTTATATTTTTAACACAATTACATTTGTATTTTATTATTTTTTATAAAAAAAAAAGCCTAAAGAAGTCGAATAATTATAATTTAAAAGTGATTATAATCTTAGGTCAGCTCAATCATATATCTTACTAATATGTTAAACCTAAACAAAAGGTTAATAAAAAAACAACTATTTTGTTTACAAATAATTTAAATTAATATACATTTTCGTAGGACTCTTCAAATATTCATCATATATATTCTATAAATTTTCTCCTAACCTAGCACATTTTCTCTGTATTTTATTTTATTTTTTTTTTTGTATTGTGCATCGCATTGAGGGAATGTTTTGCCAGTGGTCAAGTGGGGCATCCTGGGCATCCTGGCCATCCTGGGAACATTGACCACCGACGACCGCAATCTGTACAACCCGCAATAGGCATTCCCTCGGGTTCAGTTTCTTTCTGGACCCCTTCAATATTTGTGCTTTGGGGATGTAAACAAAAGTGTCGCCTACATTTTCCCCACAAACACACACACATACCAAAAAATAATAAGGGAAAAATAAACGAGGGAAAATGGAAAAGTCTATGGGACAAGTGGTGTTGCCATAGGTAATATGCTAATGCCAAGAAAATTGCAGCAAATTGTTCAAGGCAGCAATATTAGGTGGTCTCTTGAAGGCCTTAAAAGTGAACAAAAACTTGACAGAAAATAAATTTAATGAAATGAGTATATATATTACATAATTCCTGGAATTTTAATTTGTTGTCTTTACTTTTCCAGCTGCTGTGAAAAATACAAACCTTTCCCTAATATTTTCCTCCCTTCCATCAATAATAAATATTAATATCATTTTAATTTTTTCATTGTTATTTATTTGTAATTTGTTTTTATGATTTTTGTTGTTTTTTTTTTATTTTTTTCTTCAAAGGGATTTTCGATTTGGATTAAAATTGTTAATTGTAAATTACATTAAATTGTCCGTTCAATAATTAAAGAATTTTCGTATTTGATTTGCGAGCTTTGATTTTATTTGTATTTATTTTGTATTATTTTTGTATGTTTTGTTACTTTTGCTCTGCGGCAGCAGCAATAATTGAGCAAATATTTCCTAATTAAATCAATTTATTCATATTACACGATTCCTACTCAGGGATTTGATTTGAAGAGAAGTGGGGAAAGGGAAAGGGAAAGCAACAGGATAGACAGAGAGAGGAGAGGCATATATATCGGGTATATATATATATTTATAAAGGAAGGATAGGAAGGTAGGGTCAGTCCCAAAACACATTTACAGAGGCGTCTTCAATGATATGTCTTGAAATATTTATATGTATATATGCATTCGTGTTCAGTTATTTCATGGATATGTGCAAGAGTCCGAACTAGGTAGGCTATCGTTATCGTTATCGATTACAAGCTAAGAGTAGTTTGTAGTTTCGTTCTCCAAATTGGACTTAAGAAAGGTAAGAGAGATCGCGAGCAATTCGAAGTCGAGAGTTTAATTAATTAATTTAATGTTAAGTTTATTTTAATAAATATATATAATAAATATATATTTTTATATCGATGTAAAGTAAATCGTTTATCGGTTAAGTTTTGACATTCGATTAATCAATAGGTTATATATATATATATATATTTATATTCGTACTTGTTGTATTAGCTGTGTGCGTTTTGTGCTAAATTTATTGAATATTGGTCAATCGATATCCTATCGATTAACAATGGCTTAGTAATCGAGAACAAAAAAATATGTTGACTAATTTGTTTAACTTTTGAGATGAGTCGTGTTAATATTATTGATGAACACCGAAAATGGTTCACATTATTGCAGTTTTCACAATCGCGGCTCGTCATTTCGATAATTTGTTAATTGTTTATTGATAGATATCGCGATTATTCACAGACAAAAAAACGGGTTTCCCAACTCAATCGTAGGTGAGTGATATGGCCGACTTGGGTGTGGGCAGCGGCGATGTGGTATTCTCCTCCTCATCATCATTCTCCTGCGAATCCTCCGGCTCCCCAAGGGCATGGACAAACTCATAGAAATCGATGCGTCCATCACCATCCACATCCACCTCCTTGATCATGTCCTCAACTTGGTGTTAAGGGGGGAATAAGAATTTAAAGCTTATTCTAGAGGGGAAAGAGCTACTACTACTTACTGTCCTCCTCATCGAGATCCTCGCCGAGGCACTGCAGCACTGCTCGCAAATCGGAGGCTGTGATATAACCCCGATTGTGTTTATCGAAAACGCGAAAGGCATCACGCAATTCCCGCTCCTCCTGATCGGCAGAGGACAGGCCAGACTTGTCCTCATATGTCATATTGGACAGAATGTCCACAAATTCCTCAAAGCTGACATTGCCATCGCCTTATGGAGTTTAACAAATAAAATGAAGTATATAAATAGTTAATAAGTTAAATAAACACATACCATCTACATCAATCTCCTGCAACATTTCCTGCAGTTCCTCAACTCGTGCAAATTGTCCCAGTGATCTCATCACTGTGCCCAGCTCCTCTTTGGTAATGCAACCGTCACCATCCTTGTCAAAGAGCCGAAAGGCTTCACGAAATTCTCGCATTTGTCCCTTGGAAATGCAACGTCTCTTATCCTGTGACTCATTCGATTCCATGGGATATTGACCTTCACCTCCTAGCTCCAAATCCTCTGAGGCATAAGAGATCTGGCGGCTTTTCGTCTTACTACGTCTACTGCGGACACTTAGGGTGCTTTGAACCGGCGGACGATGGCGTTCTCCTGCCCTCGAGGATTGCTCGTAATCATCGTAGGATTCCTCCTCATCGGCGCCTTCTCCCAAATCCTCTTCGTCTTCGTCATCATCTTCGTCCTCCTCCTCCTCGTAGTCATCTTCGTCTTGCTCCTCCTGATGCTCCTCTTCCTCTGGTCCCATTTCCTTGAGATTTCTTTGGGCATAGCTAACCCGAGTGCGTCTCCTGGTGCCTCCCTCACATGAGCTGGAATCGGTGTCCACATCCACATCCATGGCAGCACTTCGTTGTGTTTTCGATGATGATGATGATGACTTGACCGCTCGCTTTGTCATTGTTTCTTTCTTGCGAGGTCTCTGCCTCTGACGGCGTTGCTGTGTCGATGGTGGTGCTGTGGCATGACTATCTCCTGCCTCCATGTCCTGGCCAGATCCTGTCTGTGTGGCCACCACCACCTGATCGTTGCCCTCCAGCGGCTGATCAGGTGTGTGCTCCTCGTCGGGTTCATCGCCACTCACTGCCGCGTTTCTCGTCTGGGAAAGGGAAGGGATGTGAAAAAGTAAATGGGGAAAAATATAAATAAATAGGTAAATAGTTAAATAAATAAGTAAATAGATCATAAAATAATTAAGTAAATAAATAGGTAAAATAAATGTCCACAAAAGGCAACTAAGGAAACCTTCTTCCTCTAAACTCCTTTTTGTTTTTAAAGAAAACTCATAAGCAGCTTTTGGCGTTTGAATGAAATTAGCCATAAAAACCAGCAATTAATGCTTTGCCTATTTAATTATTTAGGTAGAAAACAGAGCTACTGGAAACTCCTGCTCCTGCTACTGCTCCTTCTCCTGCTGCTCCTCCTTAACCCGCATCCTCATCCTTTTTACTCACCATTAGCTGGCGGAACTCGCGGGCAATTGTTGAACCAGTTAAAAATTTATTAACTGCCGTAAAAAGCCGTTTTCCTTCCAATGTGACGGCCTTCCTCCCGCTTTAGCGGTTTTAAACGTCAAAGAATCCTCCTCCTGGTGCCTCGTCCACGTCCTCGTCCTCCACCACCACCTCCTCCTCCTCCTCCTCTGGATCGTACTTCTGGTGTTCTCTTTTCGTGTGGCAACTGCAACCGCTGTGTGACCTCGACGCTTCCAGGATATGCAAATTCCGTATCGAATTGGGGGGTAGGATGTAGGATGTCGGTTGTCGACGGGGGAGAACTGCAAAAAGAAGGTGAGAGAGAGGATGCCGTGTAGGGGAGGGGGAAATATGTTAATTAAGCAATTACGTATTGAATGCAATGTGCCACGCCCCTCTAAAAGGAAAGGCGACACACTCATTTGCATAGCGGACACGTCCACAAATTCGCCACCAATGAGGCAACGTGACCGTAACCAAAGCCATTTGCTGGAGCCGCATCCTGGGAGCCAGGATAAGCACCGCTGACTGAATGGTATAATCAGTCTAATAATCCATTTGATTGGCACACACACACACAACATGCACACACACACACACAATGGAATCAATTGATGTCAGTCATGAGGACAGGGGAAAAATCAAGCGAAATAAAGCTGGAATAAATACCCGAAAAAGCTTCCATGGAAAATCAAACCAAACACAACCAAACAATGTTTGCTCATTGATGCCATTTAATATGTCAAGTGCCACAAAGGGGAATTCAGTTTCTTTAAATTTATATGGGAAATTAAATATATATAATATATACCAATATAAATTTAAAATAAAGTATAAGAGAACCGTTTTTTGGAAGACTTTTATATTCAGGAGCTGAATTTGAAATCGTTCATAAGAACATTATTTTCAATTGGGAAGACTTTTCTATGCTAGTTTTTTAAAAATTAAAATCTCTACATATAGAATTTAAACTGTGAATACATATAATTTGATAATTTTTGAATTCTTTTTCCAATCAACAAATGATTTGGTATTTAAATTTTAAAGTCGTATTGCAATATATATGCCAATTAGCTATCACTTGCTTTTTCATATTGATATATTACCAAGAATATCTCAAAAATTTGGATTATAGATACCTTAAATATACATATATAAATACAGATTTTTATTTATCTTCATTTTTCCCAGCAAATGAAAGTTTTTCAAATATCATAACTTGGACAAAAATTAATTAATTTCCATTCGGAAAACTGCTCTTTGCTAGTTTTTAGAAGGTTAAAAAAACTGCATACCAAACTTAAAGTTTCAAACAAATTAAAATTTTTGTAAATTTTTGTTGGCAATTTTAACGATAAAACCCATTAAAAATATTGAAAAATTTCGAAAAAAAATTTCTTCCAAACACGGCTAAATCGATTCTCCTGTTGATGCTGATCAAGAATATATATGATTTATAGGGTCGGAAATGAGTCCTTCACATAGTTTTAAGCTTCTGATAAAAATTATAATACCATTTTTAAACCGATTTTGATCTATACTTTTATAAGGCAATCTTATCGACAAATCAAGGTTTAAAAATCGCATAACTAAGTTAAAAATGCATAATTTCAATTCGGAGAGCTTTTCTATGCTAGTTTTTTTGTAGTTTAATAAAACTGCATACTCCATTTAAAATTTATAAAAATTAATTTTTTTTCGAATTTTTTTTCGGAAATTTTAACAATGTAACTCCTAAAAATGTCGAACAATTTTACAAATTTTTTTTGTCTTCCTGAGATGTCTAGATCGATTCGGCTGTTGATGCTGATCAAGAATATATATGGTTTATAGGGTCGCAAATGATTTCTTCATTGATTTTTATGCTTCTGAGTAAAATTACAAAACCTTGAAAGTTATTAATATATGATTTGAAATTGAGTAAGGTATCAGTTTGTAAATATTATTTGACATTTATATAATTTACATATAGGCTTATGTGAAAATTTTCTATAGAATTTAAGAAACATTTTCTATATAAAAATCATAGAAGTTTACTTTTGCTTTATATACTATGCGAGACATATGCTGAGAAGAGTCGGTAGCTTACATATATAGGAAAAACTATGATATCGATTTTCTTAAGCTTTTGTTAAATTTTTTTTTATTTAATTTATGAATTATATTAGTTTTTTGCATAATTTAACCAACATAAAAAGTGTCTACAGTACCGGAAAGGTATGATATACTTGAAATACTTTTTTGGGTATACTATCACTAAATCTTTCTAATTAAATATTAAGGATTTTCGTCTAGAAGTATTGGTATTAATAAATATATATCAATGCTATCAACATACTAAATCTCCAAGTAAACATTATCCCAAAAAAGGGAAGAAATTTAGATTTTTATGTAATATTATTTCTAATGATTGACCATACTTAACTAACAACACTTAAATCCTGCTAAAAACATTTTAAACTCAGCTCTTAAATATTGCAAAAATAAATGCAATCACCAATTTTTTTTGCTTTCGTCGAATTAAACCCCATTTGGCCGCGGTTTTTACAACATTTAAATAATGCCAGCAGCAGCAGCAGTTGCTCGGTAAATAAAGAGCCGGGAGGCAAAGGAGGGAAAAGGAGGCAAAAGAGCCAAAAGGAGCTTAATGGCAACCAGCGAGTGGGAGATGAGGGAAATCCGATTATCGCTGTGGCCAGGAAAGGACATCGCCGGACAGTCGAGGGAAACCGCCTTTCCCTCGTCGGCTTTAAAATTGCATTTCGATGGGCCGTGTGTGTCGGTTTTCTCTTCATTTTCCTTCACTCCTTACTTTTTTTTGTGTAGCATATTTTTCACAGGCAGATGGAAATGAAGGAGAAAACGAGCGGAAGGATGTGGATCGCCGGCACCATATGCGGGTGCAGCAGCAGCAGCAGCAGCAAAAAAAAAAAAACCGCAAGTGAAAATGCCCCCCAAAAGGGGAAAAAGGGAAGTGCCAAGGCGAGCGCATAAGGACACCCCAAGGACGAAGCAGGCCTGGCTTTTCAGCATTTTCACATTTCTTTGCTTTCTGAGTGTAAATTAAAGACAGATCATTCTTTGAACTTTAAAAATCCTTCCAGAATTGCATACACGCATACATAGATTTAATTAACATTTTAGTTTAAGTTGTCCATTAAGTTAAGGAAACAATGACGAGAAAATGGCATTAGAAGTGGGAGAGGTGAAGGGAATAGGAAGGAGCCAGGAGCTAGGGAATCCTGACATTTGCATACAAGAAAATGATCTCCTTGCCATCATCTGCAGCAGAATGAACAGGGCACATCATCCCATCAGTTCATTCCACGTCAGCGGTTTATCGTCCTAGAGGTGTCATTCCAATTTTCTTACGAGCAAGTACAGGAAAAGCGAAAACAGGAAAATTAAGGGGGGAAGTTATCACTAAGGAAAAATTAATAGAAAATAAATAGAGACAGATAAAAATAAGAAATTTTACAAGCTAGCTTTTCTTCAATAAATTATTATAAAAAAATATATTAATCAATAGGTAAAAAAAATATGAAAATTAAGAAAATAGAGACAGAATAAAGTAAGAAGTTTTACGAGCCTGCTAAGCTAGCTTTTCTTCAATTAAATATTATAAAACAAATATATTAATCAATAGGTAAATATAATTTTAAATACATTTACTTCCTTTCCATTTTTATAACATAATTTCCTCATTGTTCTCTGTGTAAATTGGCGTTTTCTATTCCTCTCAACATCTCATCTCTTTGGCTGTTTCCATTTGCTTTGGAAACGCGTGCAAAGTTTTTGACATGAAATAAATGAAGAGGCAACTTTCCAACAGCAAACACTCTCCTCTACACTCTACACTTTCCCTAATTTTCTGGAATTTCCCTTCACCAGCACGTGGCTCTGCATAACTTTATTCGAAGTCAGAGTTCTATGTTAGTTTCTTTTATTTTTTGTCGCCAAACAGAAGCCACAACGGCCTCCTAGTGTTTGGTGTAAGGAAACACACTGAATAATCAACATTTGATAAATAAAGTAAATTTAATGCTCAAACTTTTTAATAGATTTGAACAGGACTTTCTCAAACTCCGATACTTTTTTAGGGGAAAAGCCGAGGAAAAAGTGTGGGGGAAAATTAGAGTCTAAAGAAAGTAAAGTGGAGTTGAGGAAAGCCAAAGAAACAGTCAGGGAAAATGTGAGAAAACCGCTTAATTAGGCTGTGTTGAAAAAGTTTTGGGCCTAAAAAAAAAGGTTCAAACAAAGTTCTCAAAGTCTAAATTGCTTAAACAGTTTTTAAATGAGACTCTAAATTATTTATTATATTTATTTTGAAGTTTATTTTGAGCACAGTCTCACTCTAAAGGACTCTGGCTTTTCCGGCCAAGTGGAGGTGGAAATGCAACCCACTTTCTCCCTCTTGATATAAACCCCACCCTGACCATATTTTGTGGCAAAACATTTAAGCATCAGGCAGACCCCAAAAAACAGCGGAAAAGCGTAAATACAAACCGCAAAATGTTTTCGGCGGCGCGCATTTTATTGTTTAATTTGAATTGCTCTGAGGGAAAGAGTAGAGGTTTTGCTTTTCGCAGGGTTTTTACCTCCCTCGCCTCCCCCGAAGGCTTTTCCGGGTAATAACCGCGTGACCGCAGCAGAAATGTAAATGGATTACAATGCCCCGGCCACGCCCCCCATGCAATCAATTAAGGCGAGGCAAAAAGTAAATAACATTTCTCGCCGCAAAATAAAAAATACAAAAAAAATACAAAATACTGGCTCTGCAGTTGTGTCCTTTGGAAATTGTCATACGCGGCGTATGCGTTATATTTGCATGCCAATGAATGGATGGTGTGGGTGTGCACTTGGAGAAAAATGGGGGTGGTTTTTAATGTTATTTATACAAAATGTATAACTAAAGGAAAGTTTATATCAAAGAGATATGAGTTAAATTGATTTTATTTATACAATTTCGATAAAAAATAGAAAGTTTAGATAGAGGAAATATAAGTTTTGACTATAAATCTGGTGAAAGGGTTAGACATAATGATTTTAAAAGTTATTTATGAATTTCAAGCTTTGTTTTTCAATAAGAAACCTTGATTTTAATAAATATTTTATTGAAATTAAGTTAATATTAATTAATTATAATTTATTAATTATTTTTTTTTAATTTGTAGAAAGAGCATACTTGTTTTCTAATTAGCATTTCAAGTTTTTAATTTTTATTTATACATAAATTTTCTTTTTAAACCTGATTTTAATTAGAATTCAGCTTGCTTTTCTTCTAATTTTTTCTCTGCGTGTA